TTTTTTTTTTTGTACTTTCTTTGTGTCTTTCTATCTACTGTTGTCAGATCTGCTAAAATTTTTTGAGGTATGTGGATTTTTAATGTGAAAGTTCTTAATTTTCAGAAATTATCCAATTTGGTTTTTGTTGTTACTGTCATTTTTTTTTTCTCTACTTTCTGGGACCAATAAAACAAACTGAAAATATCATTAGGTCTGAGAGGCCACCAGTTTGCAAACTGTTCCAAAACGTGCAATGTCAAAAGTGAATGTGGGCAGTCTTATTGTATTTTCAGGAAATGGTAGTAGTACCTAAATAACTACACCAAACTATTGATAGCAAAAAAATCAAGTGTTGCCATCAGTAGATATGCCAAGTTTTATTTAGTTTTTGTGTTTTTTTTGTTTGTTTTTTGTTTTATTTAGTTTTTAATCAATGGCCCAAGTTTATTTTATCTGTAGTGCTGCCTGCTTTCCCTCTTCTACCCTGCGTATTGTAGTCATACAGCAGCTAGAGTAACCCTGTTAGTAATGAAGTCAAAACTATCAGTTCCTCCAGTGGCCTCTGTCTCACTCAGGAATAAAAGTCAGCACCTTGCAAGCCTTTTTGAGACACTCTTACTCCAGTTTCTCTTGTTTAAAATTATGTCCAGTCACCCTGGAGAGCTTGCTGTTCCTTCAGCCACCTAGAAAAACTCTGCCCCAGTGCTGTCTACCTAGATATGTGCAGGCCTTGTTCTTCAGCTACGAAAGTGCTGCCTCAAATGTGATTTTCACAGTGAGGGCTTCTCTGATGAAAACTGGAAATTGATAGCCCCCCACCTTCACGGCAGCCCCCATCCCACTTTGATGCTTTCCCTCCAGAGCATTCACCACCATCAGATTTCTGTAAATTGGTTTATTTATTTGTTCATTCCCTGTCTCTCACCACTCGAATGTTCATCCTGTGACAGGGACTTTTGGTCTTTTGTTCATGCTGGTGTGAGTGCAAGGCTTGGCTTGTGTGTGGTAGATTCTTAATAATAGGTGTGGCATGAATGGATTACATCCTTATTTAAGTCTATAGGTTTTAGTTTGTTTGTTTGGTAATAGTACACAGTTGAAGGAGATTTTTTTTAAATTTTTTATTGTTATGTTAATCACCA